GTGGACTTTTCTCGAATCCCGATGCAAACAAATTAACTATTTAAAAAAAGAGAGACCAATCGGAAAATTTGTCCACTGACGGCTTGCTTAGTGATACTAAGGAAGGTGTGATAATGGTATTGTGGTTTTGTTAAAAACTAGTCCTCATCTTTTACAGACACATACTGAAGTGTTTACAGATGGTTCAACATCACCTGGGAGGGCAGGGTGGGGTGTAGAACAAGGGTGGCCCTGTGTTGGTTGGTTGTAGAAACTGGCTGATGGAAACATGGGGTTCATTACTTTCTCTACTTCTATAAATGTTTGAAATTTACATTTAAGAAAAAAATGCATGATAAAAAAACTAGAAAAAACATGATATTAACAGTATTTGGGAAACAGCTATGAATGATTTTTTCCCCCACTCTACACATTTTCTGTATTACTTTTATAATGGAAAACATAAACTATTTAAAGAGATTCTCTACCTTCTCTAAGTAGGCAGAGCAAGACTGCTCATAATCTAAGGAGATCAAGACACTGTGACAAAAGCATTTCCCATCTCTTCACCAGTGAACTAGTTTTCACAAACTTTTAGAAAGGTCACTTTGTAAGGGTAAGTATGATCTTCAAATATAAACTAGCCAAGAGCATAAAGGCACATGAGAGAGAAATAAAATAGAGGCAGATTTAACAAATACAACTAACAACACAATTCCTCCCAATAGAGTTTGGTCAAAGACCTTGACTGTTTAATTCTGACTTTCCCAAATGGTCAAACAGGCCACAGCCTAGGGATCTCTTCGGTCTATGATGTGGTCAGGTGGGGAATGCACTCAGCCTCAGCTCCCAGGCCAGCTGTCTTCTGTCGGCAGCCTCTAGTTTTCCTCCATGAAACAACAATTATTTCCACATGTACCATGACATGAAAAAGTATGGGAAGTACTGGTCTAGGCCAGACCTGTCTTGAGCATCACTCAAAAGCCAAATAAAGGTATAATGAGGGGCATTAGTATAATGGAATCTCTTTAAAATGCTGACATGGAAAAAAGAACACCCATATTATGGGTTATACTACAATGTTTTAGAAAACCACTGCTTTCTAATATTTTTTTCTCTATCTGCACTCCCTCTCATGCCCCACTTGGGAAATCTTAAGGTATATTCCAGCAGCATTCAATGAAGTGACCTCCAAATATAAATGTTAGCTCAGTGGCATAAGATTAAATTCTGGAGACAAGGGCAGAATCCCGATTCTCTGTGCTTATGCTAAATGTATGCAAGATAAGTCTAAAATAAATTTCACTTGTTAAGAAAGTATGTAAGTGTCAATGGAAAATCTTCAAAGAATAGAAGGTTGGAGCTGTAAGGATCTTCTTTTAAAAGACAAAAAACTGAGCCCAAGTTACTTGCTCAGGTTCACAAGCAGCTAAGCTGGGACTAGTCCCCAGATTTCCCAGCTGCCAGTAACGTCACTCTCCAAGACACCTCCAAGGAGCTCCTGCTAATTGCTTCTTTGAATCTAAAACCATAAATCATCCAAGTACTTCCTGCTCCTCAGGGAACTGAATTATTATTAATCTGCAACTTGCAAATCATTATTTGAGAAGCCAGAATCTAACTTCATGCCACTTACTAATCTTAAATTTGTGATAATTAAACACGAGGTCCTTTATTAGTCACTCTTTGTTTATATTTGTGAAATAAAAAGGTGATCTTGTTCTTGCACAGATCAGGAAATACTCAAAAATGAATTATCAAGTACTTCTTTATTTTTTATTTTTTTGGAAAGTTAGAAAACCTTCCTTTATTGGCTCTCAAACTGAGTGAAGCTCTGATATGTTGAGATGATCTCTGACATTTACAATGGACACCTGTATGTTCTTGCTATGTAAATAAAATTGCTGGTATGAAATGACATTAAAGTTTTGTCAATAAATGAATTCTTCCTAACCTTGCTTCCAGAGAAAGGTTTAGATAAACTATAGCTTTTTAACATATAAATCTAACTGGAACATAATACAGCTTATACTGTATAAAAGTTTTACAAATTTTTTCCTATTAAATTCTCACAATTCACAGAGATATTATTACATCTCCAGTTTCACACATAAAGACAGTGATTTGTTCCACGTAATCCAGGTGGTAAATGGCTAGAATTTCAACACTAAAGCCATGCTTTGCTGCCTGTAAGGTTTTCTAGAAGGAATGAGATTGTGAACCATTTTGTATTTGTGTTTCACTTGGTCCTCAAGGAATACTGTGATATTACCTTGATATTTCAGATGTGGTCAAGTACTTCTTTAAATACTTATGTGGGGGGAACACATTACGATATATCAAAATCTATGTAAATAAGTCATGTTTGTAGAACGAAGACACCACTAGACATCACTAATGGAATTTTCTTCCTTGTACTGAGAGAACACTACAGACAAGAGGAGTCCTCAAGCAAAAAGAGAACATGGCATTGGTGTTGAAGTGGAAAAATGAACTGCCTAAAATAAAATCAATTGAATGAGGAAGAGGAAAGAGGCAATATAGCATTAAAAAACAAAAGACAGACAACATATTTGCCATAAATTCTTGTATATGCAGAGAGCAACTCTAAATAACCACATGCCATAAACATTAAAATATAACTTCTGTACCCATATTGGCTAAAGCTGTACTGTGATAACAAACAAAGTCTTTGAATTTTTCAAATATTTCTCTCAGTTTAAAAGAAAACCCTGAAAGTTCCTTCTCTAGAAAAACCTGACCGGTGTTTTTATTCTTAGGCACTATGGTGTGTACCTTGGGGTACCTGAAACCCAAGAACACAAGCTGTCACCAGCATTGACATCTGAGTTGGTTCTTCATTTGTTTCCTGCCACAGAATGCCAATTCTGCAAGAACAGGTATCATTTCTTGAACGCCAGTAAGCACAGGTTAAGGGAGAAACACCCCTTACACAAAACCATGAAGTCCTATACCTAGGGGCGCCTGGGTGGCTCAGTCGTTAAGCGTCTGCCTTCGGCTCAGGTCATGATCCCAGGGTCCTGGGATGGAGCCCCACATCGGGCTTCTTGCTCGGCGGGAAGCCTGCTTCTCCCTCTGCCCCTCCCCC